GCAATTGATAAATCTACTTCATCAAGACCATCCAAAGGAGTAACACATAAAGATTTCACATCTAGCACACTTCCATCAAAGGAAGGATTAAAACATGACTTTTCAATAATGCATTTATCTAAACATCAACAAAGAAACAAGACTTTGCATCTTTTTGATATTTCATGGCATTAGCAACATTAAAAGTTACCTCTTCACCATTTACTTTGAAAGTAACGGGGTTGTGCTTCACTCCAAGGTTGACATCATCGGTTTCCAAGAAAGGTCTCCCAAATAGAATAGGAATCTCCTTATTCTCATCCATGCCATGCACAATAAAGTCCACCGGAAGAATGAATTTTTCAACCTTCACCAAAACATCTTCAATAGTACCCGTTGGCTTAACAATAGAATGATCTGCCAATTGTAGAGTAATGTTGATGGGCTCCATTCTATCCTCAAGCCCTATTGATTTCACCGTAGAAAGTGCCATGAGACTTATCCTGGATCCTTGATCTATCAATGCCTTGGAGAAATGCCTTGAACCAATGTCACATGGGATAGTGCAACAACCGGGATCTCTCATCTTGATGGGGATGCAACCTCTAATGAGATGACTACAATTCACACTTAAGGACACAATTCCTTCTTCTTGAATTATTTCCTTGTTAGCCACAAGATCCTTGATGAACTTAGTATTCTTGGGAATGTTGGTAATCAAGTCCACCAAGGAAATATTTACATTCACCTTAAGAATCATTTCCAAGAATCTCTCAAAATTCTTACCTTGAGTGCCCTTGGGTCGGCCCCTTGTAGGAAAGGGAGGTGGTGGGACATGCTCCGGAAAATTGAAGGGACCAGAAGGTGGTTTTCACCTTGGTCCGCCATAAGATGAGTTTCAACCTCTCTTCTCGTTCTATTAATTTTTGTCACAAGTCTCTCCAATTCAAGATACAACCCAACTTGAGGTGGCCTTGAGAACGAGTTCTCCTGCACCAAACAATACCAAGAAAACCAAAGAGATACCTAAAGATAACAAAACCTACAAAAGAACAATGAACAAACCTAAACTAGAACAAAAGAAGATTAGTAAAGCAAAACTAAACAATTAAGAACATAATCACACTTAGACAACCAACAAGCAAACCGTGCCGGACTCCCCGGCAACGGCGCCAAACTTGAAGCGGGGTATTTTAGGTTTATATGTTCAATAACCTAATACCACTCAAATGCAAGAATACGTTTTGGGTTGTAGTAGTGGTAGTAGGGTTGATCCCACGAGGAGTCGGAGTTTACAATGTTGGTTAGAGTGAAGTTGAACCTATTACTTTAAACTACAGTAAGCACAAAATGGAGGTAATAAAGAGAAAGAGTTAAAGTTTTCAAAAGTCTTATAAGAAAATTCTACTAGAATACTACGATAAACTAGCCAAATAAACAAAATATGGAGCCTAAATTATAGATGAAAATTGAGAGAAAACATTTAGACTCAAGTCATGTATAAAGGTGGAACCGAAGTACACAACTACGTCCAAGCAAGAGATGTCATGAGGTACATGAGAGTTCCCAAAGAAATTATCCCTCACTTTTATGTAGCGCTCCAGTTGTGATGACAAATATGTTCCTTTAAGCAAGACCACCACATGGTTCACTTAGTTTAGTTCTTTTGAGTCTACCCTTCATCCCACTATACATTAGAAAGATAAGCAAATTCACAAGGGTTGTGGTTCAAAATGGATTGGAGTTTTGGATTGAGAGTTATGACCTCCACAAAATGGATAATGTTTGCTAGAAACCTACAAATTTTCTGAGCAAAATTGATAACTGAACTTCATATGCATGTTTGACCATTGTATCATCTGAATTGGGAAAAGTAGTCTTCATGAAAGTTGAAGCTCTATCTTTCGGCTTTGCAAGCGTGTTTGATTCATTCAAAATGGAGACTCCTAGCTCATGTTGTGCGGCTTTTAAGATGGATTATTTGCTCTTGATTCACATGAGTAAATTTTTGACACTTTTAACCAGTTTTGCTCCATTTCACCACTCTACAATGATAAATCACAAAATATATGAAATGTGCACTTATAAATCTCAAAACCATCTAGATGAGTCCAAATACAAGAAAATAAAGCTTGAAATCGAACATAAAAACATGTATATTTGATTCACATCAAATAGCCGTAACTAAATTATTTTATTTTAATTTATTAAAATTATATTGATTAACCTGTAAATATGTAAATGTCTCTTGGTCAGTTTAGAATCTGGAACGTGATCGGTCAGAAATTAAATTGAGCATTCTGATTGGTCCATTAGCTCACATGACATCATCAATTTTAAATTGAGCCTTTTGATTGGTTAATATATTAACATGACATCAGTAATTTAAAACAAGGCTACAATGGTCAATTAATAAAGTTTTTTTTCTTTTTTTTGCCAATCAAATATGTCATTAGCCGAGAGAAATAACCTAATTAATGTGGCGGGCTAAACGACGACGTTTACTACCCGATGTTACTAATTAAAATGTCATTTATTGTGCCCATTTTTACTGCCAATTTTTTCGGCTACTCACCATCCCTTCCTTCCCCACAAAAGTTTTTCCGCCCCAAATGTCAATCTAATCTTCTGCCACCTGCATTTCCCCATCCCTTCAAAATCCAAATATCTTCTAGGGTTCGAAATCCAATTGTTATGCAATGATGGTGATAGTTAATCTCTTGAAAGGAAGACGAACTGATCCAGATTTTTTTTTTCAGTTCTCGATGATGGCGATGGTGTAGATCCGGTGTCCAATAAACAAATGATGATCAAACTTTGGTTGGGCTTCCGATGGTGGCAATGCATGCAATCAACTGTCCAGGAAACATATAGTAATTATTATTAAAATTTCATTAAGCCATATGACAACGTAACCATTTGAAGCGAATTCATATTGACATGATTCAAACTGGTCTAACAAATCTAGTCTCAACTAAACATGACAATATTAGTTTATTTTAATTTGTCATAACTAAATTATTAATCTTAACTACACGTATCTCAATTAAGTAATTTTAATTTATCATAACTAATTACCCGTAACTAAAATACTTATCTTAATTTGTTAAGATTACATTAATTAATCTCATATAAACGAGACATTATTAGTTTATTTTAATTTATCATAACTAAATTAATTAATCTTAACTTATCACAACTAAATTGAATAATATTAATTTTCTTATTTAATATTACATTAATATAAAATTTACTAAAAAAATAAAAAATATTTTAAAAAAACACGCCCCAAGCAAGGCTTGGCGAGGGGAATCACCAAACAAATTATTTATAAATAATAAATAAATATTAAATTTATAAATAATTGTTTTTTAAAAAAAGGGGTGGCGACCAGTTTGACCGCTACCCTTCTAATTTGACGAGGGGTTTGCTCGTCAAACCGATCGACCGGGCGAAGCTTTTTGTCACCAGCCCGGTCGAGTGGAACATCAAGAGCTTGCCACCCTAGAGTTTGGCGAGTAGTCCACACGCCACTCGTGAAAGGGTGGCATGTTCCTGGCGCATCAATAGTGGTTTTCGCCACCCTTTTTTTTTAAAAAAAAAACAAATAATAAGGGTAAAATAATCTTTTAGGGCATTTTGGCATAAAATTAGGGTGCTTAGTAACCTCCTTGTTGTTGGTTGTATTATATTTGGAAGAATGTTAACTTCGGAAACATAGGGTGACTTCATGTGGCGTACGAAAGTTTTCTGATAAAATAAAGTTTTACCATTTACCCCAAATAAAAACAATGCTACTCCAATTTTGTGCAAGCAACGTACTCTTTTAATTTCTCTCTCGAGCCGAAAATTTCATTCCTACTAAGTTTTATTAAGTGAAAATATGATGCATGCTTTTTTCTTTATTATTGTTGTAGAAAATCTCCAAAAATTGAAGGAACGCTAGGAAAGGTCAATCCTGGCCTTGTATAGGCTGCGGTCTCATCTAACAAGACGGAAATGAGACAACAATTTGCAGTCTAACTGGGGTGTTGAATGATTAAGGCGTAAGTCAAGCGTGGTCCCTTTCATTCAAAATTATTGTAGCTTGACGACTTCCCATAATGTGCGAATTTTGCGACCGACTTCTACCATATACCGAGTCGTGTTTTGACCGTAATACGTCATGTTTTTAACCATAACATTGAATAAAGTCGATAGCTATATGCTTTTTTTGATTTATTATAAACAGCTAACAAATTTTTTTCCAGTGAAAAGTTAATCTTTTAATCGCATATTAGTTTGAAATTTTTGCATTTAAGCTCATATCTCAACATGTATATATGTACATATAATATATATATATATATATATTTATATATATGTATATATATTGAAAGTTAAGTAACAATTGACTTTGGAATCACTTCACTAGTTTGAGAGCACGATTAATTTAGCCTAAAAGAAATTATGACCACGTAAAATGCATCCATTAATTTAACAACAATTACAATATATGCCTAGACCGAAAATTTTCCTCAGAGTAACCCTTGCTGGGAAACTTTACTCTCAAAATGGGTCCGTTGAAGTGCTGAAATTCTTTTTCGATTATCTCGTGTTAATTTGCAATGTAACGTGACTTGAGTCGGAAAGTACACCGACTTTAGCTCCATGTCCGTAATCGGTGATCCATTGGTTGTATTGATAACCCTGAACCCACAAAATACCTTGATATTCTTGTGATTAGCCATCCGACGCTCAATTTTTAGTAATTTCTAAAATGATGTACAAAAAGCCTACTTTTGATAGAAGATATGAAGCCTTATTCATAGATTCAAAACTTATCTCTTTCTAAATAGAATGCTAGTGGAAAAGAAGTTCTTAACTACCATAAAAACACTTTAGTGTCGAACTTTGGCTGTTTTGGCCATTGGTCTATTATTTTATCCTCTTCATAAATAAATATAAACAAAAGCCATTTGAAGCTATTAGGTTCCAATGTTCCATCCAACTTGATTAGCTTAGGATATATTTTTCGTCATTTCCTTTTCACCATCGTATCAAGTTGTCAACCCAATGGATTTTGCAGAAAGCCGCCGGTCCCTCAATGGATCATTTTGTCAAAGACTTGCTCTTTGTCAAAGAGCAATAATGTTCCCCTCATGCAATTATATATATTCTTCTCATTTATTAAATATAACAAATTCTCGTAATTTTGGTTAACAAACACACCGTATTATGAAGTCCAAATTTTAAAGCGTTAGTTTATCAGCAAAAACATCATTATTAGCTCATAGAGATTTATCTACCTGAAGATGAAGAAATTCTCAGAATTGATTTTTATTCCTTTTCCTGTAACTGGCCATTTGATATCCGCATTAAAACTGGCAAAGCTTCTAGTGAGCAGGGACTACGAGCTTTCAATAAGAATCCTTCTCATCAAAGTCAAAGATCCTGCTCTGGATTCATGCATCAAGTCTCTATCTTACAACGAAAGCGATACCGGAGGCGGGCGGATTCAGATCACCGATGTTCCAGACCCACAAAAAGAACCCTCCTCCGGGGAACAACAACAGAAGAATCCTTTTTTCATCCTGGCTGAAAAGGTGGAAAACAATAAGCCCCGAGTTAGAGATTTGGTGAGTGGACTAATGGATTCGAGTTCGAGTAATAAAATTTCCGGAATTGTTGTGGACATGTTCACCTCTCAAATGATCGATGTGGCCAATGAGTTTGAACTTCCAACTTATTGCTACTATGCTTCCGGCGCTGCCACGGTGGGCTTCTGGAGTTATCTCAGGAATCCTGAGACAAAAGAAGTTGACCCAACGGAATTCAGGGATTCAGACACAGAGATTTCAATCCCAACATTCGTTAATCCTGTCCCTGCTAAACTCTTTCCTTTGCCTGTATTTTACAAAGAAGGTTTCCCCATGTTTCTCAAAATCAGCAACAGGTTGATGGAAACAAAAGGAATCTTGATCAATACTTTCCAGGATTTAGAATCTTATGCGTTATCATCGGGCCTGATTTCCTCCAGGGAATCTAAATTCCCGCCAGTCTATCCAATTGGACCTCTTATAAACTTTGATGGAATTAATATTACTAGCCCTGAAGATGATGATCAGGACCTGAATGCGGAAATTGTAATGAATTGGCTTGATGATCAGCCTGATTCATCTGTAGTTTTCCTCTGCTTTGGGAGTGGCGGCTTCTTCGATGGAAATCAAGTGAAGGAAATTGCCAATGCATTGGAACAAAGCGGATATAAATTCTTGTGGTCTCTTAGAAGTCCTGATGGTGAATTGCATGAAGAAATCTTGCCAGAAGGATTCTTACAGCGTATTTCAGGCAACGGAAAAGTCATTGGATGGGCGCCACAGGTTAAAGTTTTAGGCCATCGGGCTATCGGAGGATTTGTGACGCACTGTGGATGGAATTCGATTCTGGAAAGTGTTTGGTTTGGTGTGGCAATGGCGGTTTGGCCAATGTATGCTGAGCAGCAAATGAATGCTTTCTTGCTGGCCAAAGATTTGGGTGTGGCGGTGGAGGTTAAGATGGATTACACCGTTGATCCTTTTAGCAAGAATAATGCTACTGTCAAAGCGGATGTAATTGAAAATGGGATTAGGGAGTTGATGCAACAACCAGATGGTAGCGAAATTCGGAAGAAGATGAAAGGATTAATGGAGAAATGTAGAAATTCCATAGCTGATCAAACTGGTTCTTCTTACATTTCCTTGGAATGTTTCTTGAATGATTTGCATGGTGTTCATTGATTGCATTGGATGCTATATGGAAACTAAAGAAAAAAGAAATTAGAAAATTCTGTTGCGGAACGAAGGAGTTTTTCTTAGCAAATTTTTTCAAAAATGACTTGTTCTCGTTGACCTAAAATAGTACCACAACGAAACTCTTTGCTTAGAACAAGAGAATATCACAATGTGAGCTAGATCCAACTTTGTGTTAATCATCATTCAAATCAATGTCATTTTCTTCATTTTCTTTATACTAATCAAAACGTCCAATTTAAATTTTTTTTTTCTTTTGTCATTCCCGATTGGATGGTGCGTCTAGTTATTCAGAGGGGATGTCATTCTCCTTCGACAGGTGAACAACTTGACAATTTCAATTTTATTGTAGAAAACGTGTCATGGTTGTTAAGCTAAAATAGTACTCCCTCCGTCCAGGAGAAAATAATGGAAGGAAAGATTGGGAACACAAATATTTTTGTTGATATTTCTTAGAAAAACCAGCCCCTCGAAATCTCGGTGCATAAGCTGGAAACACGAAGCTTCCGCTTACGATGAATAAAAAGTCAACCAAATTAATTGAATGTGTGTTTCTATCAGGATTTGATTGTTTTGATTTCTTTAGATAATTGTAGTTTGTCATCCATCTCAGTACTTTTTAGGTTTGAATCAGTCAGAATCAATGCAGTTCCCGGATATAGTAGTATTGGATGATCTGATCTGATGCATAAAAATCTATAGTAACATTTTCATTCTACGAAAAGATTAATGATCATCCTATAATCAAATTATTTCTGGTATCAATGAAGTTTCGTCTTGATTTTTTCTTATCTAGATTAGGAACAACAGCAGAAGAAGCTGGATTGTTGATATTAGTTCTGCATTCTCCATCCAAGATTGCAATTTCGGACGAATATCATAATTCTCAATACTTAAAAGCATTTCAATTCAATTGAAGCTGCTGACCCTCCATAACATTTTAATCATCACATTCTTCTTCTAACCTTTTAGCATCCCAGTGAAGTAGCAAGAGCTTTCAATCTTTGACATCTTTGTCAAGTTAAATATCACCAGGTCCTCCACTAGCAAACCATTTTCTTTTGAAGGATTAAGCACAGCCCTTTTTGCCATCCAAAGTTGTGAAAGTTGATTCCCTAATCAAAGGATTCTTCTGAAAATTGGAAAAATATGCAAAACATTGTTAGAGTTCCAACGAGGGCAAATTGTGATAACTAAAGCACAGGAAGGACTCTTTTCCCATAATAAGACTCCTACTAAAAAGTTGCGATAATATCCTTCAAGTGAGTGACAAAAAGAAGAACATCGAAGAAGTTGTTAATTTGATGGATTCCATACTATTAACATGCTTCTTTCTTCAAACACTAATCCATCTTCCAAAACCATTGATTTGTGATCAAATTTTTCATTTGATATGATGTTGAATATTTTCTAAAAAAGTACAACTTCATCGCCTTGTCCTTTAGTTCAGAAGATCTCAAAATACTTTTGGAAAATACGCCCCTCATTTGTGTTTCAAATATTATTCTTTTTAGTCTGTTCCAAATGCTTTTCTTCTAATTTTATGCTACATATTAAGGTCAATGGCAAAGATAAAGATTCGTGACAGACAATCTACGAAGAGAAATTTGTGTAGGACTACAAATTAATATCTTAATCCTGAGTAAGATTAATGACGAAGCCGGGATTTGTACCTCCGGTTTAACAGTGGAATTCCGATAGGGTTTTGGTAATGTGCCAAAGAGAGCCTCGGGAGTCTCCCGAGGGTAGACACTCTAATTCTTAAATTAGTATAAGATTTATAGAGAAACATATGATTCCTAGTTGGTGCCAGAGATAGTGTACCTCAGTTGTGGTGTGATCAATCCTATTTATAGACATGGAATTACTTTATTGATGTCCGAATCTTACTAGGTTACGTATTAATAAACCGCCTTTATGAGAGTTGGTTGGACCATATTTGGTTGATTGGCCGGTCCGATAATCCGTGTCGGATATGGACTCATCAAGTACCCTTGTGTCAGATACGGAACTTAGGATTCCGAATTGCAAAGGGAAAAGAGAATTGGGGAGAGAAACAGGAAGGTAATCTTCATTCATTTTCATCGATAATTCTAACTAACCGGAGACGGTTACATTTATGCCGTCCGTAAATCCCAAACTATTACATAATTGCATACTAAGCCCCTGAACTTGTAACTAATCTATTCAAACCCTCCATTTCATGACAACTCTCCCCCGCTAATCTAAGTCTTGTCCCCAAGACTTGTACAATGAAAAAACAAACTGCCACCCTACATATTGACACTTCCATAATGAAATCATAGCACTATTCCAAAATGAAAGCATAAGAAAAATATAGCCAGCTTCCTCGTGTTGCTTTGAGTCTCTGTCTTCCAGAACGAAACCATGCTTAGGCATCCCCAATGTAATAGAATAAATGCACATGCACTCCTTAATACTTGAACCATGAGTAATATCATCAATTGCTGATCACCATCAGAGACCAAACACAAACATGGGTGCAGATGATGTGACTTAAGATAATCTGCTACCGATGGCATCATTTTCATTGTGCCAATGACAGGTTCAACACATTGAATGTTCCCAAGTTCGTTCCCAGTGCTTTTCCAGTTTTCCATGGATTCAAATATAAGAGAATTGATACCCTTCTTATGATGATAACAATCAGCTAACATGTTCTTAAGAAATACAGTACCTGTAAGATTTCCACAACACAATACCAAGCACCTCCTTTTTTTTTTTTGGATTGTCAAATGCCACAACTAAGAAAGTAATAGGAAGCACAGATAAAGTCTTAGAAGTAAATATAAATGGCTGACTTGATTGTTAATGCTTGTTGAGCCTGGAAAACTAACATAAGATATTCCTCTTATAATGAATTCTGGCCATTGAAGAATTTCGAACTCAAGATCCACTTCAAATGGCCCTGCAACTAACTTGATTATCTTCACTCTCCACTTCATCATTCTTGACACAAAAATGGTTTCCGGAATTATCATCAGTATAATGTTTGAAACCTGATTTCTCTTCTTGCAACCTTTAAGAATCTGAAGCAGAGAACACTTTGAAACATTTGTTTCATTATCAAACCAAAATATGGCTCCAGACAGAAATATCTCTTTAGACCAACAAAGCATTGCAACATATACCAACTGGAATATAACTCCTACTTGCATCAGATTAAGATCCCTTTTCATGTAAGCATTTTGACACCCGTGACATTCTGCAACCTTAAGCTCAAGAAAACCAACATGAGGAAACCTTACTTTGATTAACAGCAACCCTTTTGACGAGGATAAATTCCCAAAGTGCAAGGAACTTTCATTAAACCAACCAAACTTCAGTTGCAACACAATGACTATCCCTGTTATAGTTCGTCCTTTCAACGCTGACACCATAACAACCCATTTATATAGTTTCTGATGTTTAACACAAATTTTCAGGTTCAAGTTCAAAACAACCTGCCCTTTTATATCAAAATCCCGAGCGCAGCTGTGGTAGGCTGTAAGAACCTTGACAACCACTCCCTCTCCTTTAAAATGAACCTTGTCCTCAAGGTTTGGAGTCAAGTAGGGAGCTACATTCCATTTCAACCGAAACAACTCGAACTAAACACAAACATCAAAACTACTTGTATTTAACTTCTTTGATCTCAGCTGCCTAGTCTGATAAGTTGTCGTTTTGGCTTCCTCACTGTCCTTATCGGGCCAGCTGCGAAACAAGGCACCTTTTTCCATAAAACCATTCCCCCTGTCTCCCTTTATTACTGTAGCTAAATAACTTGTGCTGATTCCAGGATCATACATCCAAACAGTAGGCTCGACATTTACAGTGGAGACAAATCCCATAGAAGCATTACACTAAACATCGACATTAGTTCCAAATATAGTTCCACCTTGAAATATTGTTGCTACTCTCACCCATGATTTTGTATTCCAACCTTCACCACATGGCTCAGAAGTCAACAAACTAAGATAGCTCCCACTGTTGATTAAGTAGCTTGTACGAACATCGGTTTGTTTTCAAAGTTCATCTTCTACAGTCAAAAACTCATTATCCAAAAACTCTAAATACATTGTATTATCTTCTTTCCTCAAACTCTCAGGTATATCATCCAACTTATTAAACAGAATGTAACCATCAGTAGCATTCAATTTTGCAGAATCATCAACCAAAAATTTTAAAGAAGTATCATAATCATCAGTGCAAGCAAATGATCCCTGAAGGACATCCTTATCATCATCATCAGTTTGCAGCATCAAGGTTGCACTAGAATCATCCGGTTTTACAGAGTCATCTTCCCAAGTCTTAAAAGAAACATCATAGTCATCAAAGTCTACATATTTATGAATTATTTCCTCATTTTCATTGCCAGCTATTTCTAAAGCCACAGAACTAAAAACCATCACAGGATTTTCATCCTTAATGTTCAGCAATTAAACATCGTAATCATTAGTCGGCATCATTTCGCCAAGAAATAGAAGCTCATCATCATCTTGTACCATCGATTCATCATCAGCATCAATTGAAAAGTTATCATTATTATAAGCTTTCACACAGGCAAATTCATCATCAAGAGACTGAAATTCGTATAAATCCAGAGAAAAAACAGTATTACCTCGTTCTTGTAATGAGTTTGTTGCTGGACTCACATTTTTTTCCAGTTCATATTCATGAACTTCACTGACCGACTCATGGTTCTTCAATCCTTTATTGCCAAAACGACGAATCATCTCCAGGATAAGTTCAATCCAAGTGATTCGAGGTCGAGTCAACTTTAATGGTCGATACTAGATATCAGCTCTGTCTTCCATGTACATCTCGATCTGTTCAACCTTAGATCCCTCAGAAATATGATAAACAGAGAGGAACATCTCGCACTTCCTCAACCACTCCAAGGGATTGCAACCTTTGAAAACGGGTAATTCAACGCGTGGCTGATAATACGACGTTTGCTGGAAACCTCGATCTCCGTCCATCACTGTTCTCGGGTACTGCTCGGAGAACCTAAAAGCGAGGAATTACTAGGAGGAATATCCCCAAAATGTAAGGTCGCTTTCTCAGTTGACAGACCTCTCACGTCCCGTGACAGATGGGTGACAGTCGTTATCATCTTATTTGACAAGGCCCAGAACAGTAACTCCGGTTGAACAATGGAACTCTGATTAGGGTTTCCAGAAAAAGAGGGCCTCGGGGGTCTCCCGAGGGTAGACACTCCGATGCTTAAGTCAGAAAATACGGTTATGGAGTATTACGTATATGATTATTGAAGCTAGAGATTGCGTACCTCAAGGTCGGAGTAATCATCCCTATTTATAGGCCTAGAAGATGTCCAAATCTCACTAGGTTTAGTATTTTGCACCGCCTCTACAGAGTTGGTTAGACCTTGGGCTTGGTGAATGGGCTGGTCCAATGCAGGTGGTGGATATGGACTCGCCAAGTGTCCCTATTAAGTATTAGTTATATGAAATAAACAACACTTGACACAAAATAAAAATGACCTAGACTCGGCCCAAGTGAAGCTGCCATAATGCATCGAGCAGGCCTGCTGGTATAGTTTGCGGGCTAGGATCCGATTTGAGAAGGTGACCCGCTTCAGAATCTCGCCTAACATATTCAACCGTGCGCAGTAAGTGGGCATGTTTCCCAAACAGCAGCTCTGTCATCATTACTGCCCCTTGAACTCCGCCCAAACTGTCGAGACGTGGGAGAGAGGAATTGCTTATATCAGGAAAAACCAAAGGCTTTTCCATCTTCACCGCTTTTCAAAACATCGAATCTGAGAACACAGAAGAACTTCTCCTGCCTCTGCACATCACCGGCCGCTATTCAGGACGAACATCCCGGTCCGTTGCTGGAGATTTCCACACCTGCTATAACAATAAAGATCCAACACTCCGAGCGGATATAATTCAAAAGGTCAACCTCGAAATTCAACAGAAGTGAGTCTTTCAACCGTCTTGTTATTAGTATCTGCCTTTGCCTTTCTTTTGCCTAAATCTAACCGTTTTAGCATATATTGTGGTAGGCATGGCTGCACAAACTGTTTCCGATTTTCTATCCACCATAGATTCCGCCCCGAAAGCTAAAGCAGTAGCTGAAAAATATAACTTCCCAGTAGATCTAGAATATCGAGCCCCTATAGGAAATGAGAGGGCTAGCGCTCCACCAGAGGAAAATATTACTGTTTACAATCGATTTATGTTTCTAGGGCTTAGATTCCCCAAGTTTCCCCTGTTTGGAGCAACAGTCCCACACTATAAGATTCCACTTGCTCAATTCACCTCGAATATAATATCAGCTGTTCTCGGATTTTTTCGACTCTGTCAGTTGATGAAAGTAAATCCTCGCTTACTTGTATGGAGGTATTTCTTCAAGGTCTATGTTCCATCAACCAAATTAAGGGACTGGTATACTGTAAAGAGAAATCCAAAATCGAAGGTCGTACAAAGAGTAGAACTCTTTGACGGTGCCCTAGTTTGGAAACCGAACTATTTGTTTGTAAAAGTACCGGAGAATTTTTGTATGGCTTGGGATTATCGTGAAACCCAGGGTCTACACGTTATAGTCGATGAGTGGACAAAGGCTAATAAGGCTGAGATCGAGGAGTATAGGGCCGATATCAATGCCATGGAGGTCTTCGAGGATTATATCAATTAGACAGATGTTTAGCATTATATTCCTCCCATTCCTGTCGAATATAAAAAAGGTACTAACTTCTCTGTTTATTTCTTTTGTTTTAGGTTATGTCCTCGAGCAGAAACACCATTGGGTTGTTTGGTGACTCCAAGCTTTTTGATGTTAAATACTCAGATGATGAAGGATCCTCAACAAAGGTTAGCAAGAAGAGGAAGGTACGAAAGCTAGTCAAAGCATCGAATGTGGGGAGCAAGGACAAAGAAGAGCAAGCAGGTCCCTCCTGTCGAGATGGACGACTTGATCGAAAAGGAGGTCACTCCACAAGAGACAATCTCTGATTTTCAAGAGAGGCAAAAAGAATCCTGAGAACCCAATCCCCGATGCCCACCTGGTGAAAGAGTTGGACCCAGAGTGGTTCTCGGGTCCCAAGCCCCCATTGGAGAAGAAGAAGAACACCATCGAGGACTTTGACGTCTCACCTGGGTAATCGACTTACACTGCAGCAGCTGCTGTATATCACTCTGGGGATGCCAGAATCGAATGCCCCATACTTGAGGAAAACGTTGCAGCGATGACCGAAGAAGATACTCAAAACCTGGTAAGTGTTGCCTTCAACCTGGTTTGACTTAGTCTATGCTATCTTGGTAACTTATTGGAATGTCTTGCCGTGGTTTTGACAGATGAGTACCTCGGTGATCAGTTTCTTGCTTCACGAGAAGAGACTGAAAGAAGAAGTAGCTAGGCTGGTCCTCGAAAAGAAGTACATCGAGCAGGAGAAGGCGATTCAGGAAGAATCATGGAAAAAGGAACAGCTAGAACTCGCCACCAAAGAGAATGAGATTGTGGCCTTTCGATCAAGTTATAACAAGCTAGAGGCCAAGATGAGAAAATATGGGGAAACCCATATCTCTAAGACAGAGTTGCAGCAATGGCTGGTTGCCTTCTGGGAGAGAATGTTGCCTATTGGCGGAATGGCCAATGTAATGGTGGGCATTAGTGAAGCTGCCATACCATTGGGTGGTCATGGTGTAGCTGTTGCCACTCTCGAAAGAATGGAGGAAGGGAGGACCATCACTGCAGGCTAGCTACAGCAATTTATAAGGAAAGATCCTCGAAGGGCACTGCATGAACAGATAAAAAATGGGTTACTACATCTCTCTACTGAGCAGCTTCCTCTGTTCAACGCTCTATGTGGCCCCATCCTCCAGATGGGTTCTCCAGAAGAAATCACTTCCTTTCCTGGTGATGTCCTCACAGTCTTACTGGGCGAACCTGGTGAGGAAATGCGAGTGCCAGACCTTCCCCGCAATTTTATCGGGGTCGAGTTGGTCTCCGACGATGATTCCTCGGAGAAGGCTGATGAGGATGGTAACAAGGAGAAGGAGCTTGAGGTCGAGAAGGAAATGGGATCGACTCAAACGCTGATCGAGGAGACCAACAAAAGCCAACCAATCAACTCTCCGAACCAAGGCATTGTATGACATTCTCTCCTGTAATAGGACATCTGTTGGGGTTGTAGATCCCGTGTTTTGTAGAACCGCTTCTTAGAGTAACCTTTGAACAATTCTTAATAGTACCTTGCTTGTCTAATTCAATTCTTTTGGCCTTTAAAGTTCTTGACTTATTTTCGTTTCTCATGCTAGGAATCATACCTTTTTCATCAGGTACACCTGATGATCCTTGACGAAAATCAAGCCAAGAATTTTCCCATGTATGACAGGATGACATCAGCAATGAGGAAATTGGGGAACGTCCACAACATCTATACAGTAAGAACTGTCGAGTAGTAAATCGTAGATGCTATCCAAGTATACGATGTGCAGATACATTCTCGCTTGGTATAACACTTTAAACAGAAGGAAGAAGAGTATCAGCATCGTCTTCATCAATATGATCTCGATTTCCAAGATTCCCTGATACTGGAAACGAATGTAAGTGTGGAAATGGCTCGGTTGAAAAAGGAGAATGCCGTGAAAGAATTGTGGTGTCCCTGTGGTTCCTCGAGAAGTTCGACATTCTTTCACTTGTTGAGAAGCAGATACAAGTTAGGACAGAATGTTTCATTGCCATAATAGAGCTGCTGAAAAAAAGAAGCAAAGAAGCTGAGTTCTTCTTGAAACAGTCTGCCATTTTGCTGAATATATTGGCAGACCGTGAGATTCCACTTCCCATTCTCGAGGACCTGGATGAAGGTAAAGAAGCTAAAGAGAGGACAGCCGCTGAGGAGTACTTGCTGCAGCTAAACGAGCAAGACTAGGAAATTGTAGATTTAAGAGACAAATTAAGCCAGTGTATCAACCAGCTTAGGGTGATAGGCTTCTCTGGCGTTCTTAAGCCATCTCGATTTAATCCCAAGGGGAAAAATCTTGAGATATAGTGACAAATAAGTGTATTTATCCAGCCCCGCACGTTGTGTGAGGGTATATTTAATTCGAGCCTTGTCGGCATCATTTGTTATCACATACTCGAGTATAATGTATATAGCGCTTAATGGCCAGATGTAAAGTACACGGCTCTCTCGAGGGAACCGGATACGTGTTCCTCGATGCTTAAGTACCGCGATCTATAGCTAGTATGAGGAAATTTTCTCGATTCAAGGATGGCCCATTCGAGGACTAGTCACGAAATAATGTCGACACATTCAAAATATGAAAAATATGTAATGTCTTTTATTGAATAATTACTTGAGGACTCGGATTATCATTACATATAAGGGAATAAAAACAGAAAATCACATAGAGCAAATAAATTAGAAAGTAGCATGTAAAAAACTTAAACATAGAACCTGCGGTAGTTCTGAATGTTCCACCATCGAGGGAGTCTGGTTCCCATATCATCCGTTGTCTGTAGGTGATAACTGCCAGAAGGGGAAACTTGCATGACTCAATAAGGTCCTTCCTAGTTTGGTGATAACTTTCCAGGAGCCTCTGCTCGACTGGCTACATTTTTCCTAAGTACCAGGTCCCCGATCTTGAAGTCAGTGCTTTTGACTTGCTTATTATAGTACTTTCTGAGGACCTCTTTGTACTTGGCTTCTCGGAATTTTACGGCATCTCGCGGTTCCTCGAGTAGGTCAAGGTTAGTCAGGATGTCT